TCCCTCACTGTTTCCAGGATGGCTTCGCGGACCACATGAAACCACTTTGTGGGCCGCATCCAGCCCCGGGGCCTTGTGTTTGACATGTCTGAACTAGGAGGAACTTACAAAATTCACTTTCCTTGCTCTGGTTTGTTCCTGTAGAGGAGAAGGGAAACTCTCCCTGTTGGATCCAGGCAGGGAAGGCAACCCAGAGTCTGCATGGTGGAGCCTGGCCCCATTTGGAGGAAAGAGCCCTCAATTCCTTGGTGTGAAATACGCAAACCACTGGTAATGCCATGATCCCCAGTGGTTAGAGACTCTTCTGGTGGCATAGCTGAGACCAGGCTGAATCTGGAAGGTGGGGGTGGGTGGGTTTCCCCTCTTAGAGGTGTGCCCAGCTGGGTAGGGTTTGGCCCCCATCGAGACCCAGGGCAGGGGAGGTGGGGTGGCAGTGGTCCTCTGAGAATCTCCTCCTGTTTTCAGAGGCCTTGATCCCCACGTTTCTGATTGTGACTCCCTGTTTCTGAATCTGGGCTCACGGGATCAGTTGGGATTGTTGCTGCTGTACCAACCTCCCTGCCTGAGTACAGTGGAGTGTCCCAGGATTATGGTCCTGGGAGTCTTCATTCTGCCATCCATGCGTTTGACCTCGGAAGCGGCCCAGGAGTTCATGGCCACCAGGGTGGGTTTGGGCCTCTCCCAGATCATCTTGGACCCGACTTGGGACCGTGGTCGCACACGCACACCAGATATGATCTTGTTGTCAGAGTAATGGCAATGTAATCTGGTGGGAGAATCGAGTTCAGACTGTAACATTGTAATATTTTACATGGCATTTTTTATAATTGTACCGCGCGCTTCCTAGAGTCATCTTGGAGAGATGGATGACACAGAAGGTTAATAATAAAATAAACGAACAACCTGGTATCCTTTGAGAAATTCCTGAAGCTGCAGAGGTTTAATGGGGAAGTGAGAGAGAGAGAGAGGAGCAGGGCATGGCAAAGACTCAATCTGTGTCTATCTCTCCAATGCAGGGAGGAACCAGGCCATTTAGCAGCCTCCTGGCAGGTGAGTGGCCCCCGTGGGAATGGAGGTTGAGGCTTTGAGGTCCAAGGACCAACTGACGGTGAAGATACTTTGGGGAATTCCTCTTCACTACTAATCTACTCGAACACTGCAAGGGTGAGGAATTTGGGGGCGATTCAGGTAGGCTCTGGGGCCTGCCTTGGATCATGAGGCTCAGAGACCTGCAAAAAAGGAGATTTGAGTGTCACCAGGGCAAACCCGGCTGATCCCTCCCTTGAGGCTGCTGCTTCTGCTCCTTCCCTGGGCTGATCTTTGCTGATCCCTCAGCCTGGACGGTGGGATTCTTCCTCTGGGCTCCCCTCTCAGACTCACCCTGCCTGCTTTTCTCCTCCTTTTTGCAGCACCAGCAGACACTCCCAACATAAGGAGAGAGGAGAGAAGACTTCTTCTGAATTAGGCCGGACTCTCAGGAGGAGCCCTTCAAGCCCTTCCAGCATGCTGGAATCAGGATGTATTTTGGGTCTCTCATCACTGCTTTTATCACTACCTCAGTATTATATTATATTTTGTTACGACCGAGGAACAGAGGAGAAAAGAATATCTTATGTGTTTAGGATTGTGGAATCAAAAGGATTCAAACGAGTGGGTGTAGTAGATGTTACTTTATTTTTATTTTTTATTATTTTATTTATTTTTATTTTATTTGTATTTATTTATTTATTTATTATTTGGATCCTGCCGAAGGTATTGAAGATATCCAACACACCTGTAGTAGATGTTATTTTATTTTTATTTTTTATTTTATTTATTTTTTATTTTATTTATTTCTATTTTATTTTATATTTTATTTTATTTATTATTTTATTATTTTATTTTATATTTTATTTTATTTTATTATTTTATTAAATTATTTTATTTTATTATTTTATTTTATTTTATTTTATT